GAAAAAGTGTGCAAAAATTAGGTATTCACGTTGGTGATGTGTAATTTATACTCCTATCAAATTGAAAAACAATATTGAATTTAAAGAAGCGAGCTCTATATATCATATAGATAGTTGAAATTTTTACATACCTATATACTATTGGAAACTTTATTACCTTCCCTACTCAAGTTTCAATTTAATTACATCATATATACAAATTTATCAATTATATACACTTTAGAAATTAAATGAGTATCCTTTTATATTAGGAATCAATTATTTCTCATCCTTATTCTCTCTCCCTCATGCTCTCTCTCTCTCATGTGCTCTCTCTCTCTCTCTCTAGGTATTTCTCTATCTCTCAATTCCTAATTCCAGTAATGTACAGCAAAGGAAAAGAGAGCTGCAATTCCACTATTGACAGCCATTAAAAAGCTTTGAAGCTTTGAATTCGAATTTGGGTTTTCAAAAAAATATTATTTGTTTGAATTGGGTATTATTGCAAATAATTGGAAATTCTCTCTACGTCTCTCTCTATCTCACAACCTCTTGGTTGGAAGTGGAGAGTGCTCACCACTAGAGCAACCCACTCTTGTCAAAATTTTATTATCATTTTTTAATTTCTTTTTAGTAGCATCATCAACAGAAAATTAGCAATAGTATTAGAACTATCAGAAACAACAATGTTATTAGAAACAACATCAGCAGGAGGTTCGTTAAAAAAAAAAAACACAATCAACTTCTGATTGTTCAAAGAAAATTAAAAGTTTCTAGGACCAACGTTTATAATTGTTTCTATCTAAAGGCTTAAACTTTGATAGATCGGCAAGAGTTTTATTCAAAGTGGTAGCCATTAATCAATATTATATGTAAAAGTTATCTTCAAATTGTAAGAAAAATATTTGATAATATTGACCTAGAACAAGAAGAAATTAGAAAGAACTTATTGAACAACAACTGTGTCGTGGCAAGTCACTGCCTTGAAAGCGATTTCGGCCCAACTGGGTGTAAATCGCTAAGATCGGTCGCGTTCCAAGGCACCACAACACTTCCAAACATGTGCACTCGTAACTGGAAGTTTGGAGTTTGCACAAAATAATTGCCCACAAACTGACTAAAGAAGAAGAGATAGCGTTGGTATTTTCTGTGTTTGAAAACTTCACAACACAGCTCCTTATATAGATAAGATGCTAGAGTTGTTATAAGAGGGTGAATTAATTTGGGGGTTATAAAAATAAAAGAGTTGTTACAGAATTCAAGTAGTAGTTACAACAATTTAAAGCATAGTTGCTATAAAGTAGTAAATTGACATGTTTTGCCTTCAAAACCAACTTCTCATGTGCGCAAGTCCACTCCCTGTTACTAGCTCTTTACAAACCCAATAAAAAATAATTCAATATAAAGAGAAGAAAGAAACTTTCTATCAACTGATGAGAGACACTTTCTCTTTTACAAAAGACAAAAAAGTAAAGAAGGAAGGAGACCACAAATTTTTTTTGACTTTGCATTAACAAGTATAAATAATATCAACAAGTTTGAATTGTTGTTATTTTAGAACGCTAATCAATGTTGAGAAGATAGTTGAAAATATTGAGAATACCTAATTTACTCCAAAAGTCAATAATATTCGGGCAGCCCTATTTCAAAAAGAACAAAAATTGTCAATATTGATCCCTATTGGAATTAGTCCATTATGGTAAGCATAACTAGAGGAAGTGCTTGATTTCATTGGGAGCTATGGAGGTGAAGTTGTTCAAATTGTATTTGGTTATAAAATTTTAACTAGCCTCATATCTCAATTATGTGATAGGCAGATTTCGTAAAGAAGGTATTCATTTGAGTTGGTTAGCGACAACAGAAGGCGCAGCCAACCCCTCGTTTGGTGGCTCCAAAAAATTTCTAGTTCAAAGAATATAGAGCTGAATAATAATAATAATAATAAAAGATCTATTTAGTACATCATTGGGTACTATAATTAGTACTAGTTACTACTACTATCATATATATGTATGTCTGCGTGAGAAAAATCAAAGTGTTTTTATAATTGACAGAAAATTGAAGTTCAGTTATTCTAATAAATGTATTACTAGTTATTTGTATAATAGGAGTAATATTTACTTCAAACTAAATTAAGTGGATTTAAAATTTATAACCTCACCCATTTTTCAAAATATTGAATACCACAGAGAACAACTTATGAGACATTGGAAGTTTTAGTTGAAATGAAAAACGAAAAAAGAAAAAGAAAATCGCTTTAGAATTAACAGAAAACAACTTATGGGACATTCGAATAGTCAGATCCCTTTTTTTTCCACCAACAGTCAGATTCTTTTTTTTTTTTCCTATAAAAAATCCTCCTTTAAATTAAAGTATTTAAATAAATGCCACTTGCTCTCAAACAAAATTTTCATTTTCCTCCTCTCCATTTAGCACTCGCCAAACGCTCTCTCCAGATTCTCTCGTACAAAGATCGAAGATGGCGCTATCCACAGGCCGAAGAACCGTCAATCATCTCTTGAAACCTTTAACGGCGGCGGTATCCGCCACGCGCCACGTATCATCGGATTCGACCGCCACAATCACGGTAGAAACCAGCCTCCCATTCACCGGCCACAAGATCGATCCTCCATCCCGCACCGTTGAGACAAGCGCTAACGAACTCATGACTTTTTTCAAGGACATGGCGGAGATGCGGCGGATGGAGATCGCCGCGGATTCGCTCTACAAAGCAAAACTCATCCGTGGATTCTGCCATCTCTACGACGGACAAGAAGCCGTCGCTATTGGCATGGAAGCCGCAATTACCAAAAAGGATTGTATAATTACAGCTTACAGAGACCATTGCATCTTCCTTGCCCGCGGCGGAGGGTTATATGAGTCATTTGCGGAACTTATGGGAAGGAAAGATGGAAGTTCGAAAGGTAAAGGAGGATCCATGCATTTTTATAAGAAGGATAGTGGATTTTATGGAGGTCATGGTATTGTTGGTGCTCAAGTTCCTTTAGGGATTGGATTGGCATTTGCACAAAAGTATTCGAAAGAGGAGCATGTAACTTTTGCCATGTATGGTGATGGTGCCGCTAATCAAGGGCAGTTGTTTGAGGCTTTGAATATGGCTGCTTTGTGGGATCTTCCTGCTATTCTAGTTTGTGAGAATAACCACTGTAAGATACTGAAGCTGAACTCTCTTCAAATAGGTGTTTTTAACTTATGTACGTAACACTTTTAAAAAAAAAAAAAAAAAAAAAAAAAAAACTATAAGGGGCATTTTAACTTGTGATAGCGGGTTAGCTAATTAGAGATTACCATTGTAATTACCTAATAAGTGACCTAATTTGTGTAAATAATTAGACACCATCAGTCCATGGAACTTAAACTCATACTTAAAAACTTCCTTTTTAAAATTCTTCTAAGTAGCAATACACATTTGATTGATAAGTAGACTTGTCTTGATATCTTTTTGCATTCATTGTTCAATATCATGCATTTCTCTGTGTTGCAAGTGATTTTCTTTTGTAAATGTATGTGTTTTTCCGTAATATTTTGATGAGTAGTATGCTTGCAAAACTATAGACTTACAAATTATTGACTGTAATTGGCATTGATGCTGAAAAGTAAGTTTCTTTTGCCTATTATTAAGTATGTAATGCGTTGTTCACTTCAAATGCGCGTGATTGCTTTTCTGATGCAGATGGAATGGGGACAGCAGAATGGAGAGCTGCAAAGAGTCCAGCTTATTACAAAAGAGGAGATTATGTTCCTGGTCTGAAGGTACAGTGAATCACACTTTGCAACTCCTTTTTGTTAAATGATTTTGCTTTGTTTTCTCTTTTATTTTTGGGAGCTGATAGTGATGTGCTAGTAGCCTAGTAATACTCAACTAAACATTTCTCATTAAATCTTGAATAAACTAAAATCTGTTAACTTTTGAATTGATTTTACTTATCAAAAAGCAGTTGAAGATTTCTCTTCAATTTGAAGCCAGAATCTAGGCTTTCATATGAGCTCTGATCTTTTTATGTTAACTGAATTAAGTGAAACTAGCCTTACAAATATTATGACAAGAGTGGGTTGCTCTAGCGGTGAGCACCCTCCACTTCCAACCAAGAGGTTGTGAGTTCGAGTCACCCCAAGAGCAAGGTGGGAGTTCTTGGAGGGAGGGAGCCGAGGGTCTATCGGAAACAGCCTCTCTACCCCAGGGTAGGGGTAAGGTCTGCGTACAAACTACCCTACCCAGACCCCACTAGTGGGATTATACGTTGGTGTTGTTGTTGTTGTTGTAGCCTTACAAATATTGAAGAAAGTTAAAGTTTGATGTGTGTCATTTTGAGGAATGTCCCCTAAAACTAGTGTCTAGGAGTTGTCTTGACTATCAAAAAGGGGAAAAAAGAAGAAGGATCCTTTACTTTGGTAAGTTATTTGTGGGACTGTGGATGTAGTGCATGAGCATGGCTCACATGTGTGAGAACTAGGATGATTGTGCAGGTACGCTGTTGTTTGGAAGCTTGGTGTATGGTTCAAATGCTATAATTACCTATATACTCTTTCTACTGGGATCTCTGTAGTCCTAGATTATGTAGAAAGCTGTATTTGTTTTACGGGGCAGGCCTAACAATAAAAGGGGGAAAGGAAGAAAAAAGAAAAAAGAGAAAGCTTTTTCCTGCCACAACAATGGAGAAGAAGGACCAATTATTAAGTTTCAATGGGTGATGTAGGAAATATTGACGTTTTGCGACTCTTGTGTTCTTTTTTATGTTAAACAGGTAGATGGTATGGATGCCCTTGCTGTTAAACAAGCATGCAAATTTGCTAAGGAGCATGCCCTCAAGAATGGACCAATTGTAAGCACTTATCATGCCTTTTTTTATAAGGAACATATCATGCCTTTTTCTAGATTAATTTTTGGTTGTGATTGACAGGAGTTCTNCATGCAAATTTGCTAAGGAGCATGCCCTCAAGAATGGACCAATTGTAAGCACTTATCATGCCTTCTTTTTATAAGGCACATATCATGCCTTTTTCTAGTTTAATTTTCGGTTGTGATTGGCAAGAGTTCTTTCTGTTATATAATTTCCTATATGTATATACCTGTATGCTGTTGAAAACAATAATGTTTTAGATGCCTCGTGTCATGTACTCTAATAATTTTATAGGAACTGTAAAAAAGAAATAGCAAGCTTTGGGCCAAGTATTATTGACAGAAGGAAAGAAAAGGAGAAGAAATAAAAAAGAGATACTAAAATCAAATTGATACAATTGCTGTTGTAGCAGTAATATAATTTTTTCCTTTGGGTTTAATCCTTGTGTTTTCGAGGTCAGAGAGCCCCTTCTGGAAGCATAAACTTCATTGTTTATTTGTTTATTCAGGATAAAGAGAACTCATGAGCCCTTTAATACTTCCTAAAGTGTCAATGAAGCCATTCAACTGTTTTCGACCCGAGCTGCATCTAATGTCTTGATGTCACACTTGGGTAACCTCAACGTTTTTTCCTGAGAAAGAGGGTAACCTCAACATTATTCTGTTAAGAATTCGTGACGAACTGTCAATCTGAAAGGCAAAAAAGACATCTTGCATTATTTCACTGAGAGTGGCAACATTTCCGTCCAGGAATGTAACCCCTGTTTTTCGTAAGATAAACTGGGAAAGGGAAGGCGATAAGCACCAGTTTTCTAGGAAATTTAGTTCGCCTTTGAGTTTGGAGTTATTGGTCACAACAACCAGACTATTAACTGATTCAACTATTTTCTGCAGCTAACAACTGCTGCACTTCATCAAATTCCCTGGCCGACTTATTTTTCTTATGCTATCACGAGACGTCCCACTATCTTGTCCTCCAGATTAAAAAGAATAAAACGAAGTAGTCAAAAGGAAAAAAGGCAAGTAGGTTATTAATAAATTCATTGCCTCTCATATGGGGATCATGAACTTAGCCGTAGTCAACATTGATTTTATGTATGATCTCTCTAGACACTTGTGTTATATCCCTTAATAAAGACCCTGTTTGTAGTGGACTAATTATTAAGATCAGTTCAGTAAGGTAACCCGCTCAGGCAAGTATTTCTCTGCCATTGAAATTAGAAGAGGAGGATGCATGGGCTGAGAAATGCATAGCAGTTGAGATGATAACTTAAATAATTGAAATATACCATTTATTAAAGATGGTCTCTCTTCTACTTGGGTCTGTTTTATAAAATTTTACTTGACTAGAATAGATCATATGAACACCTATCGCTGGTGGTTTATGCTGATGTTTCTACTTAGAATCCTTGATGGAAGGACTTGGATTACCAAATGCAATATTAAAATGTTAGTAGAGTATTTTCTAGGTGATGGGCTTACTTTGTGAATTTTGGAAAAGTTAAATGGAGCCACATTGTCGGTGATGATTCATATAGTTGACCCCAACTTGTTTGGGCTTGAGGTGTTGTTGTTGTTCTAACCATTTTTCCTTATTTATCTTTTATTTTATTGGTCAATAGAATCCATAAGCTCATTGCTAATGAATTTTTCTACATAAGACAAATTTCAGGAATTAGTAATTGGTAGCAATTATGCTAACGCTTCTTAGTACTGTACCTTCCATTTACGGTGTCACATATGATGCACATTAATAATTTGCGCTAAATGTGCTTTAGTTGATCATTCTTTTTGGGCTGCACATGTTTTTTAGTTTTCTTTTTTCTTTTATTTGTGAAAGGAACAATAGGGTGATGGTTAAAACGAAGTTTGGAAAACGCTAAGATTAATACATGGAAACAGGCTCTTTTTCAAAAAATGGAACGGTCTAGACGTAGGACATGTCTTGCATTGAGGCTTATGCTATGTGTTTTGGGGGTTGTATTATTTAATTTCTTGCTGAATTCAATGTCAGTTATGTTCATACATTAGTATTCTTTCCTTTACTTCATTTTGAGCATATTATAGCATGTTGACGTTTCTTTCAATTTTGTTCAGATTCTTGAAATGGACACCTATAGGTACCATGGTCACTCTATGTCTGATCCTGGGAGCACTTACCGAACTCGTGATGAGATTAGTGGTGTTAGACAGGTCAATACATTCCTTTAGAGTATCTGATATATCTCAGCCCGTAAACGCCTCGTATAAAATCATAACAAGATTATCTTTAATTTTGCAGGAACGTGATCCTATTGAAAGAATCAGGAAACTCATATTAGCTCATGATATAGCCACAGAGAAGGAGCTGAAGGTAAAGACAACTTTCTAAAGCTTGTAGGAAACCACGTATTATTTCACCTCGATCTTGAAAGGACCTCTAACTGTTTTGTGGGTTTCTGTTCCTTCTCTCCAGGATATCGAGAAAGAAAAGAGAAAAATTGTAGATGAAGCCATTGCTAAAGCAAAGGTGAGGGTGGTGATTTTTATCTTCTATTCTTTAGCGATTCTAAATATGGTAGTTACCTTTTAAAAAACAATAAAAATAGTAGCTGACTATTAACTGCTTATACTGTATTCCAGGAGAGTCCCATGCCTGACCCTTCTGAGCTCTTTACCAATGTATATGTGAAAGGGTTTGGAGTTGAGGTATGCACTTGTTCTAATTCATTAGTTTATCCCTTTATTATATACTGAAGACTGTAGTATCTATAAATCAAGTGATAATTGAAGACTTTTCATTGAAGATAATCTGCAACTGATTTTACCCCCAATCTCCAAATACTAACGAAGTAGCACATTACTTTGTGAAGAATATTATGATATGGAAATCCATCCTTGAAATAAACTTCAGCAAACAAAGTCTGTGCCTAGTAATCTACTAAGAGCACTTTGACAAGAGATAAACACCTATATTCATATAACCATAGTTGCTATGGGCTTAAGTACCCTGTTCTTGTTGTTATTATTATCTCGTGCCTCTTTTATAATTGTTTTAACAAGGAGCTAGGGTGACCGGCAGTTTCACACAATTGTCCCTTTTATAAGAATGGCCTATGGAGTTAAGTTGGCGGGTTTGCTGCTGTAAGCTGACCATTGAATATAGAGAGAACCTTGGTAAAAACTTTTGAGTATTTTTCTTCTAGTTCCCGCCTCCCGGGACCAAGGAAGATTTACTTCACAAGTTTTATGGAGACTGGCTCATGCAAAGGGATCACTTTTTGTGTCAATAGTGGTTATTGGCCTTACTTTCCGTTTGACATATATTTGAGAAGGGATAAACTTTTGGTAACCAGAGTAGCATGCTGGGCTTAATATTTTTTTATCACTGGTTCTTGCCTGGTATTCTACTGAGAGTACTTTAACAAGTGATAAACACATTATTCATATAGGTATCCATAGTGGCCATCTGCTAAATTAGCCTGTTGTTGTCAATTTGCGATTGTATTGTACCTCTTTTGTAATTATATACAAAAGGAGCTACAGTGACTGGGAGTTTGACTCGATCTTCTCTTTTATAAGAGTGGCTCATGGAGTTAAGTTGATGATGGGTTTGATGCTGTAATCTGACCATTGAATGTAGAGGGGACTTTAAAAAAATGGTTCCTCAAACCAAGGATGAATTACTTCGAGCTTTATCGAAACTTGCCTGTTTAATTCAGTTTGTGTCAATAGTGGTTATTGACCTTGCTTCCACTTGACAATATATTGAGAAGGGATAAACTCTTGGCAATCGTAGTAGCATGCTTTGGGCTTGACTTTTTTAAATCACTGTTGTATGTTGTGATAGAGTCAATAGGAATGTGGTCAGATTATTCTCATTGCTTTCCATTTGTTTGGTATTTTTTTTTTTTTTTTTT